AAATTGTAAAAGGAAAGTAGGAGAACGAAAAGGCGAAAAAGCAAAGAGGGAGAAAAGTATGGGAAAAAAAGGAAAAAAGAATTTTCCCCTCGACCGGAATCGAGCCGGTGACCTTTCGGTATACAATCATACAATTACAGCCGAACGTGATATCCAACTACACCACAAGGGGATATTTTACTGCGTTTGCACTTTCAATCAAGTACTGTGATGAGTCAGTGCAGTGAATTGTAGTGGTTTGCCGTACGATTCTGCCACAACAAATCAAATGTGGTTGTCGTTTGGCGCTGTTCACGACTTTCAGAAGTGATGTTTGATGGCTGGTGACTGGCAGGCCTCGCGAGACAACAAAAGGAATTATTGTCATTGTCACCATAGCACAAGCACAGCACACGGAGTCCCACTGGATCTCTGTTGGTGCGACATGATTGACGCTTATTTACAGCCGGAACACCACCACTAAAGTCAAATATTGAGGCAGATTCAGTAACACAAAGTTTGCGGCCATCGACTGGCTGAGTGGATGGTTATTTGGTATTGTGTGCGTATGATATCTACATAGTATCGCCGACAACCACTTACGCAGTTGCCAGTAGCTACCGTGCCAATGTTATTAATGCCAGCTGCCGAGTCGGCTTCAGTGCCGGTGAGTGATCTTCCTCTCGACAATATGAAATTTCCTCTTTAAGTGGTTGTTGGAGTCGGCAGGAGTGTAACGTTGACTGTGATGGACATTGTTTTCCCCATGCGTGAATTGCGGATATGTCCCGACTGTTGGCGCTGGGAAACGGATCGTTGGAATAACGATAATAAAGGGGAATTCCGGTGATGTCTCATCCCACTTTCACCGACATCGCATTAGCAACCGATGACGAAGTTTGTGGATGAGATTCTAGTGTACTATGTAAGGTAAGATCATTGTATCCTGTTTTATGGATCTCCCGATCCATTGTTGGATATCAAACCAGCATCTCCACCTCCACCGGGTGATGGAGGTGTGGACTTTACCGTTGTTATTGGGTCGTTGTTGGGGGTTCGTTCGTTTTTAGTTCGATTACTCTCGGCGACGAGGCTGTTGGAATATCCAGTAGCTCGGTAGCTGGGGGGACAGGTGAGGACCCCTTTGTGGACCAAGCAAGGGTTCACGATAGGCCAGGTCGGAAAGGGCCCATTCTCGACCAATCTCTATTGGGGATCCTCCTTCGGATACATCCAGATCCGCGAACTGAAACCTGGCAGATGACGAGATAGGCGCCGCTCTTCGGCAGTCTGGTAACGGACGCCTCATACCGAAACACATCGGGCCTGGGTTCTGGGGAAAGCCTGGGCACCCTGGCTGTTGGCTAGCGAGACGAGCCCCAAGCATGGCCCGGTGATCGCTGCGTGCCAAGCAGTCCGCCGGGCACCGGCGGGGAACCAAGCACACGTTGTGGTACACATCAAGACCCCTCGCCCAGCAAAGACGGTCAAAAGGACGGAGGCTGTCCCTTGTCAGCCCCTTGTCCTGCTGAATCTCCTATGCGCGAGAGTGGGTTTGCTGCACCGAATGGATCTCTTGAAAGCGTTGTCGACATGTGGTGCACCGTTTTGTCTGGTATTGGCCTTTGCAGGGGCCCTCATCTGATCTCCGGGCCCATGCCAATTGTGGGGATCACGACTCCTAGAAGAATGTGTGGGACGGGGTGCCTGGTCGCAAGGGTGCCACGGTCAATAACGGTGAGAGCCTGCTTTTCGGTCCGTTTTCTCTTTTTTTGAGAACAAGAAGGGTTTACCTCCCTGCACCCACCGAAAACTTACAGGTACCCACCCCACCAAAAAAATGTAGGGCGGCCCAGCTGATGACATCTCATATTGAAGATCTCGGTTTTACCTACTAAACTTCGTATTTCCCACGTACGCTGATATTCGGTCTACCTATGGTAACGTGGACCATAAACCCTTTTATACCACGAAAGTATCACGAGATTTTCACTGTTACTTTGACATCTACAGAGGTACGTGTATACCTAGTAGCAAGTTTGTGGTGGGTGCGGGGAGGTCAACCTAAGACGAGAAGAAGGGAGAGGATGAGAGAGGGGCAGCGACACTGTGTTTAAGGTGAGACTGTGATTGTTACTGCAAGAACGGAGGCGCTCTCTTCGTGCGACGCACATGGCAGCAAGGGTACCTTTCCGGCCTCCAAACCCGCTCGGGGGGCTCGGACAGTTTGTTTAAAATGTCTTTTGTTGATGGTAAAAACGAACAAAACGCTCTCATTTGTGTGTGCCTTGCTGGGCACAAGCTAGTAGCCGTCACCGTTGGGACTACCCAAGATTTGGCGGGCTTTACTGGACTTGCCGCGGTGGTCGTTGAAAGCGCAAAAAAAGGTCAGGTTCCAGCCATCCAGTCAGTCAGTCATCCAGTCGCATGAACGATATCGGGTCGATGAACCAATGGAGAAAATCCAAGGCTTGGAGGACCAGCGGCCAAAAGGCCGCTCTCGTGTCACGTCGGCCGGATCTGAAGGTGTAATCTTGCATGGATAGATATGGTTTAAAATGGGTTAGGTTCTCGTCTTTGGGGAAAACGGCATCCTGCGTAAATATACAGGTACACTTGTGAAGAAAATGCGTAATCCGTCGAATTAGTGACCAAGATGGTGAGAGAATGGTAATGCCGTCGGCAGAACAGGGGAACAGGGCGTACATCGTGCAGGAGTGCCGAGAATAGCATTGGGTGATGTCGACGTTGCGCGAGGTCGCCGACCTGGCGTTCCCGACGTTGCACTTGATCCCCGCTTCGTGGGTTGGGGCGTCACCACCCCCCGGGCGGGTCGCGCCTCGTTCACCTTGTCCCACCTCAACCACCACCTTGCGGCTGTCGACGAGGGCTGGATCCTGGCTCTTAATACGACAGTTTTATTCTCCCCAAGTCATGACATTTCGACCCTATCATGCCCCTGCCCCCCCACTCTCCCCTCTTTGCCTCAGCCGCTCCCTCTCTGGGTGTCTTTAAGGTCGGTTTCGGTCTTGTATTTGTGTATCTGCTTGCAACACGGGATCCAGTCAGTGCTGCCTTCCTCCACTTGGGCTACATACTCGTCCTATGGAGTGCTGTTCAATTCTTGATTCAGTACCAAACATTGAGAGCCTGAAGTAGGCAGGGCTACTGCTACTGGTACTCGAATGGTGGGAAGATGATGCGATGCTGGGATGTTCGATGTTGCTGTTAACGTCTGAACGTTGTCGAGCTTCTGCAAATCGACCGCCAATAAGATGAAGACACTCGCGTAAGGAAATCGGAATCCGCTTGGGTGCACTCTGGATTGGACAGGGGCTGTATGGTGTTAAGAAA